CTGTCTGGCGTGTATGCCTTCACTACCTGAAATGAAAGCGACGAACGAAACTGACTGACTTATCAGTCAATACCATGGGGTTCTTAAGTTCACTAGCGCGAAGGTTTCTATAACTATTGACAGGATCAACACTGTCCAAAATATGAACCTCAAAATATAATTAATATAATTATATAACAATATTACCTCAGTTAATGTTAGTGCCATTAATAATGGGATCAAAAAGTTAACCCTAAGGTAATATCATCCAAATTATAAGTAATTTCAACATCAAGTCACAAATGCAGATTGCGAACAACCATTTTTTTCATGCCTGAAAACATATGATTTAATCTTTCCAACGTGTCGTCAACTTTTTGATGAACAAATATAGGTAATGCTTCATGAATGATTTCAGGAAATAAAAAACAAGACACATCTAATCAAGATCAAGTTTGATGGTCAAGATCCAGAAAATGCTGATCCAAACATTGCTCAAAATTTTACAGCCGTGTTTCTCACCATCTGATGGTGAGAAATTGCCATTGTCAAACAATTCCATTACGTCTTTAAATTTGTATCTGGTTTATATTCCTGTCATAGATGGATGTTTGAACGATTGATGGTCAAATTTATTTATATTCGTGTTACCTGATTAAAATATTTTATGATGTGGTATTCACATTGGTTCACTGCTAACCGGATTGTGCTGTGTCCAGTAAGCTGTTGTGATGTTGTTTCTTCAATCGGCGCTATGTTCATCATTATTTTCTCTAAAGGTGCGTACTGTTCATAGTACCTAATCCATTTATTGGACTTGCTATCACTATGGGTGGCCACAAACGCAAGTCGACACTTCTGCACTATTCTCTGTTCTACGCTTACTGCTTTCACCGCTAACCAAGTCGTCCTTGACTATCGTCTCAGCGTACCGTATTCTAGGACAACCGAGTGAACTTCTAGGACAAGTGAGACTCAGTTTATAATTCTTAACGTCCACCTGTTGTCTCTCAGACGAGCCGTATGGTCAGCCTATCTTGACATCAAAGAAGTCAGAAATTACTTAGGTTAATACTGACCATCACTTTTCTCTCCTCGACTTTAGTTGCAGACCGGTAGCTCATGGCGGCTAGAACATTTAAATCGAAAGTTTCTTTCTTCTCCCTCATGGACAGCTCACAGCTGTCGAGTAATGACGTTTTAATACGATTGTCCATGTTTCCTTGCTTTCCTGCTGACTTCTTCCTCCTGCATAGCTGGACAACTGAGGTATGCTTAGCTGATGACTACTTCGATTCGTCGTTGTTTACATCGACAGTGCTGTATTTATTTTTGTGAACATTCAGTAGGATGACGAGTGGTTCTTCTTGGAGCGCTGCTTGATCTTCTGTTAGAGCTTTATCATGTCTTGTGGGAAAATGCAACCGTCCGCAGATAACAGGTGCATAATGTCCATGGTGATAAGGCCTATATTGTCCAAAGGTCTGTATCGACAGCAAAAGCTTCTCATGCAGGTCACAATGTTTTTGTTGTGATGACAGGTCTCTAAATTAGGTGATTTCAATAACTTACACTGCTCATTTTTTACTGACCATAAAGCAGTTTGCTCAAAGAGTGAAATAAAACAGTATTATTTTTGGATGAAAAAGTTCTTATTGAGTCACGATGAGTTTTATTTGCTGCGGACGCACAAAACTTTCAAATCTAGGCAAATGTTGCTCAGGTAACTCTTACCGTATAGGCCCCAGTGCATTGCGAACCGCTGTCGCAATCTAGTAAAAATTCATATCTCATAAATTACCACTATTAATAATACAAAGTAATTGCCATAGTTTCTTGGCAAAATCACTGAAGAAAGATGGAAAAATCTTGCCAGTCTACTTGCCATTATCAACCAAGTTACACAAAACCATGGTCTGATTCTGCCACTTATAAGTGGCGACCTTGTACAAACTCTTTCAAATTTGAATTGAGATAAAGTAGGCTGAATCATCCGTCAGTTTCTTGGAACAATACAGGAGATGCACAATAGGTTATCTGCAATCGCTCAGGCCTTATGCACAGAGGAAGCTGAAGATTGCTAGATTTTCACATTCTGTACTGAGTGATAACGCTGGGATTATTTCAAATCTTGTCTAATGCGTATTTGATATGATAAAACTATAATTACATAGTTTCAAAGCAGAAGAACCATAAAAACGCAGTCGTTTAATATTACACCGTGCAGTTTGGTCTTGGAGGAATTATGGGTAACTTGACACACTCTAGCAAAAGAACATACTGTAATGTTTACGTGGCTGTATATGTGGAGTGTCAGCTTCTGAGGCATCATTCGTTGTAAGTAAGAGGTGGCTCTTGCGAACAGAATGAGGCGAAATGCATCTGGCACTGCAGGCGCTCAAATACCGTTGAGCCATGGCCCCTTTAAATGGCCTCTCTCAGGTACCTATGAGCAAGGGGTAGTGCAATACGCCGTGAAATATGGCTTTGAAACAGTTGTATATCATCAGTCATTTTATATTATTTGGAAACGAACCTTGCCTTGCATTTTCTGACTTCTCTAAGGTAGTTATCATTACGGAATCGAATAGCCATAAATTTTTGAATCCAATTCAAGCCTTCATTGCTAGTCAACAACTTTTATCATAATAATTTTTGTGTTTTCTGTCCAGGCATAAGATGGTGTAGAAAATGGCGGCAAATACGAGGAGACAAGATCGCTTATTGAGATTTGTATACTGGTTTCCAAGGCGTTGAAGAAGGATGTTTGTTCATGGTCACGTTTCTTGTAACTGTGTGTACCGGAAGAACAGCGGAAGCGGTTAGCAAATCGCGTGACGGCGTTGCCAACAACAGTGACGTCATAAATGGTTCTGCTTTATAGACGATTTGCTAGTCGTATTCATATCGCCAGAGACCGTTTTGTAAGCCCCACACTGGCTGACAATAAAGCATTAATAATTAACGTTGCAGGTATCATAATTGGTTAGTTCTTGTCTATTTACAAATAATTTCACAATCACAATATTGCTTTGTTCACAGCTAACGTGCGCATCGACTGTCGTGTACAAGCGCAGTAATCAGCGCCATCATTTCTACCTGAATAGAACTCATTGTAGAATTGACAACCGTGCGCAGCGTAGGCGAGATGAAAGTGCGGTCACGCAATGAAGGTAAGCGCAGTTCATTACCGCATGTCTTCGTAATATCGATTTTCATGACGATGACCGGTGGTTACTCACAGTGAACTTCATAGAAGTTCTTACCTGATTGTTTGCCCTCTTCAAATTCATCAAGTTTCTTCTACTTCAAAACCGGGGCGCAGTGTTTACGGTAGCAATGGCAAAACTTCGCTTACATTATGGTGAGCGTAAACGATCGCGAACTGAACATTATTTTCAAAGATTTGCTAAACATTCGCCGTTGCGTTCGGCATGAAGCCCATTTACAGAACCGGATTGCCATTGTGAAGGAGCGGATTTCCTGTAGCATGCCAACTAATCAGCGTGCAGCAGGAGGCGGAGTACACTGCGTTCTGTCCAATCAATGATCGCCACTTGAACATAACTGCTTAACGAACCACATAGTGACAGTCTGCCACCTTGTATACATAATTTGTGCAGTTTGTATGCCTGCCCCTAAATTGCAGTGTCTTCTGCGTCGATAAGTGAGGGGAACCGAAAAGCGTCATTTCTCTGATCGGTGCAGTCGGTACAAATGTATCCGTACTTCCACAGCGTACTGGCACAGTCCTGTGCTACCAATATCGGTTACCATCAACCACAGCAGCAGCTGATGAGCCTCGAGAGACTGCCGTTTGGTGCCCAAGGCCCAGCGTTGACCACACCGTCAGGCATGAATTTTGCCATTTCTGCATATCCAACTCTCGATCCCATAACTGCAGCGACCGTGAAAGCTTTCGGCTTTGGAGTATTTGATCCAAGGAATTCACGATTTGTGCAGGAAGAGCCAAAACCCCAACATAGCTACATCGGCTTGATCGCAATGGCCATTCTTAGCAGCGAAGAAAAGAAGATGGTGCTTTGTGATATTTACCAGTGGATACTGGACCATTATTCATACTTCCGCAGTCGAGGACCTGGATGGCGAAACAGCATTCGTCACAATTTGTCTCTGAACGACTGTTTCATAAAAGCGGGTCGAAGTGCCAACGGCAAAGGACACTACTGGGCTATTCATCCGGCTAATATCGAAGACTTTAAAAAGGGCGACTTTCGTAGGCGTCGCGCACAGCGAAAAGTACGTCGTCATATGGGCCTTACCGGAGGCGATGATGGAGAAGATTCTGACGGTAGTATCACTCCTGATCCTTTGACTCATGAGGAACCAAGTACAAAGTGTAAAGATTCCCTTGAAGAATCCAAGGATTGCAAAGCTTCCTGTTCCCCAAAGGCGCCATCTTGTTTGGACCAAAAAACACGCAACTCACCTGTATTGATAAAGAAGCGAAAATTCGATGTAGAAAGTTTGTTAGCCCCTGATGAGGGAAGGAAAAGTCCCCAGAATTCTGCAATCGATTTTGCAACGCTGAGTCCTACTCTTGCAAACTTCAACATGGACATGAACACGCAAACTCCAATTGGCATTTCGCTATCATCTTTGGCTACTGTTGCTGACTTGCAACAGAGTCTCCTCTCTGCACCGTTGCCTATGGGCAATGTGCTAAATCATCCCGAGTCTCTGGAAACATGGATACGAACTAACGGTGTTTGGGTAAGCAGTCAAAACGATGGTCAAACAGCAACGAGAAGCCAGACAATCTTTAGTCCTCTGTCTGCTGAAAAATGGCACCAGAGCTTCGCCAAAATAATGGCTCGATCTTACCATGCCAAAGACCTCTTCAACAGAGTAGAATTCCCAGGTACCAATTCCGGGTTCAGCAGTGTGAAGCCGACTGACCAACGTCATGACAGTCAGTGAAATTTGCACGTGCGTACTCCAATTAATTTTGTTCTTACAGTGTCATTCTTATTTACATAGGGTACATTTCGTTGTAGCTTTGTATACGCGCTGATTAAAGGAGACTTGTATTTCATCGTTTTTTTCTTCTGACCAGGAATCTCAGCAAACGTGGCATCTGAAAAGCAACGAGTGCTCGATTGTTCAAACCTATTAAATTCTTTTGCTGCAGATTTGAGGTAATAATGATTTTTATCAGTTCATAGCCTTTTAATAACTCATTCCTCTCAAATTTCTCAACAGCAATAGATTATTTCAATTCACAATATGGCAGAAAATATGTATTTATCATGAAGCTTCGGGACATTTAGTATATTGTTAGTTGATTAGAGTGACAATCCAGAGCACTATCGTTTTCTACTTAATTTTCTGTTGCCTCTGGTCCATGTTTGAGATTCAGAACTGCAGAGCAAATGTCGTTCTGCCAAATGATTCATAACGTCATACACAAAGCAGAACTGCGCTTTCTCTTATGTCTTTAATCTTGGCGATATATGTTGCATGACTAATTTTACGTTTCCAAATGTATGACAAAATCTATGAGTGATCATCTGGGTTTTTGTCTCTTATCTTTTTAATACGAGATTTCTTAATCTCTTAAGCAAATGAATCGACTTTTCAATTCAGAGCATAAACGGCATGATGAAAAGATTTTATCCTCCATTTCTCAGGATTAGTATGGGGGGTGCCCTGTGCGACTTTTGTCATAATTTGAAAGTCCAGACTATGCTCCGGTTGCAGAAAGTTTTAGTTTCAAAGTGAGTGACAAACCCTTGTTGCCAATGTCTCACTAGGCTGCTATTTCAAGACTGATTACAGGTCTTCAGGCAAAACGAAAATTAACTACCCTCAAACTCCGCCCAAACTTACTATTCGTCATTTTAGTCATTGCCAGATTTGCGACAGACAGTCTGCATGTTCACCATGCAACCCACAGTACACCAGACACCACAGTATAGCGGTGTTACCGTATGTATCTGTGCAACACTAGCGAAGACGGATGTTGTGAATATTGGTGGTCTGGATGAAGAGCATCTGATGAGTCAGTTTCATACGACATTCAGTTTCGTAAATGCTACAGTTAATCTAATTTGTCAGCGCTCTCATATGCCCCATTTTGTCAAGGCGCCAGCGCAGACGTTCACTGATTGCAGCTGTGAGCGCAATCAAAAGGCATCAAGTTAACGACCGGGCTAAAATTGTTTTATAAATAATTTCAATGACGTGTCCTTGAGTTCGGCTTGTGATTTTAACTGCTGTTTATTGAAGCTGTAAGCAACATTTGTGACATGTGTTCACCTAGTTAGTGTAAAGAGTAGGTTTGCAGATTACTGTATTAATGGTTAGGACTTAATTTTAGCTGTGCAAGTAACTAGATTCGTTGATAACATATTTTAAGACTAGTTTTAAAACAGTATGCCATAATCTACTACAATACTTAGCTTCAGATATGAGTATTATGCAAATTACCACTTTGTGAACCAAATTTGCGTTAATAATTGATTGGCATTCATTGTCAAGCAACACTCCTACGGCTCTACATGGACAATGGACTACACGAACGTGAAATAGATTATTGATGTCATGGCGTGCAATTATTTCAAGACTGAAGTGATTTCTTGTCCCTGTTTGGTTTGTGAAAATTCCGTGCACTGTCTACACAAAACGGGCTTGACGGCTAATGTCAATATTGATTTCACCCGAGGCTTGCAGCCGCTGCCGGTAATCTTAGTCTAGAACGAACATGCTTGCAAAACTGTTGTTTATGTTTTTCAACATTTGTATACAATGTACCTCGTAAACATAGAAGAGAAGCGCTCAAACGATCATGATTGTGCAGAACTACGTGCGCCGCGAATAGTTCAGCGCATGATGTGTAAAGCATAGATTGCTCGTTAGTTACGTTTATCTTCAGAATGAATTTATCGTTATCTCTAGCGGAAGAATTATTGTTGCTACATAACCAAAACATAATTTCCCAAGATTTAATCAGTTCTTAATGTTAGGGTGTAAAGACGAGCTGATGAAATTTACTCTATGATATCACAGATGCATGAATCTCGTTTATCCGCGGTTGTCAGTTTTTTCATGCACTCAGTTCTTGAAGGAGATAAATCTTGATTCATACTGTACCCTTCACCTGATCAGTAAACGGGAGCAGGTCGTTGTGCACAGCTTCCTGCGTGATGAAGAGCGAATAATGAGTTGTCGAATGAAATCACTGTGGCAAATAGCGTAAGCAATTAGGTGCGATTTTTGATCAGGTGCAATTGGCGCCGTCTTGACAATTGACGTTGATTAGGAAAAAGATTTGTCGAGTGGCCAATTGATATTCTTGCCGAGAGGCGTACTCCACGTTGCTGCCTCCACCGGCGCTAATGGCCTCACTGGGCGGCGATGAGCGACCGTGTCGTTGCCTCACCGCCCGTGCCGTCGTGCATTGTTCGTCGCACGGCGACCGGTTTGTCGCCATTATCCGTCAGAGACAACGGACCGTAAGAGACAGGTTCGCCCCTCCATTGTAAGCAGAGCTGATCGCTGTTCCAATCCGAACTGCATCCCATTCAAATGCGACCAATTGCCCAATTCTGTTTATTTTCTGCTACAATGCCCGTTGCTAGTGTTGCCACTAACTGACATGTTCATCGTCTCTTCAACAGCCTCTAGCTACTTCAGCATCTGACAGTTACCACCCTCTCTTTGAGCCATCTCATCAAACTACCTTTCTATACAGTATTTTTGTTGAGCCCAAATTGTCCGATTTAAAAAGTTGGTTGTTTACGTGATCGACCAGTAATTCCCTGGGTAACAGAGTCTTGCTTAGAAGCGTCGTTTAAGTTAAATGCTCAGAGCGAAATTAGATCTTTTTCTGAGAGATCAAAGTCAAAAGCATAATCTCATCGTCATTTTGCCATGATCTTCGTGCACACCTAATCTATTTCTGCAAAGCCCTTCGCCCTCATCGGCTATACGTGGTCATTTGTTGGTCAATCAGCCCTTTCGATAACCGTTCATTCTTTTGGGTCACAGAGGAAAGTCTTAAGAGGGATGGAGGTGTCGTTTAAAGAAGAACGTTTTCATCTGTATGAAGCGTCACGTCAGTTGGCATGAACACAAACTCTATCTTTGTTTTCGAGGGTCATCTCTTATCCTTTCCCGGTGCGAAAGCACAAGTAAGACAGTCTCTCGAACGTTTCTGATCTTGTGCTAGTGTTTGAGTTTTAGATAAGCTTAGGATAACCCAAACTTGAAGCAGAGTGTGGAGCGAGCCTTGCCGAGGTAATTCTTGGTCGTCACCGGTGTATTGGTAAGGTCGGTCGGTGACGCAGTAATTGTTTCGCCCTCCCTTCTACATGCATGACAAAACGTTCCCAAAGAATCACTGTTGCGACTCATAAATCTAGAAAAACAACGGCTCTGCCATGAAGTGCTCTCAAATATCTATATTATGGACATGCTAAAAAGTATGACCAAAGAGATTCGATTCAGAACGCCTCTGTCAGCCATTTGCGCCGGATTCAATATTTTCACTCATGACCCATGATTCATGATCGAGGATGAGCATTGGGATGAAGATCGACCAGAATACAGAGAGCCTAGTCTGCACACTCAGCTCATCACAGCGATGGAAGTAGTTCATAAGTCCATACAGAACGCTGCTGGCTATTCCAATTCGCTAGTCGACCTCTTCCTTCCATTTTCGATCACCAGTAAGCATTAACCAAACGTACTTTAATTTCTCCACACGTTCCACCGCCTCACCGGTTATCATCAAAGTGCAAACGGTATAAAAACGAAAAACCACTAGAC